CTCTTCTTGGAGAGAAAGAGATTTTAAATACAAGTGATTGCATTTTAAAAACCCCATACAGTATCGAGATATTACATACATTGCAATATGTTTTATGTTTACTCTCTGGACAAGTTTATTTTTTCACAGATGGAACAAGGTTGCAAATCTGGAGTCAAAAGAGACTGTTTTATCCATTCCATCAGTATTTTCTTCCATTATTTTGCTCAGAACCTTCCTGTTCTATCCTGAGTAAGATAAATTTAAGACATAGCTACAGGTCTTAAATCAAAGTTTACAGCACTTTCAACTTACTGCATACACTAATTTTCACACATTGTGTTTTCCCCTGTGTCTGTTTTTTCTCCCTCTCCTATAAGCTTACACTTCACTCCATCATGCCCAATATAGGAATAAAAGCAGGGCAATGCTTCTATTCCTGTCTTTGCCACTGACTCACTCTATAGTTTCCTCAGAATTTGCATTTTCCATTTGGATCCTCTGGTATCTAAGAAGAATGTGTCTGTTGATGTTTTCTTTGTGGTAAGAGCCTTCATAATGTCTCCCTCTGTGCAGATTCTCTTGTGTTTAGTAAGGGTTGAGTCTACACTGAAGCCTTCCTATCAATGAGATTATTAGTAGGGGTTCTGGCTTCTACTCAGATGCCAAATTTAATAACAACTATAGGAAATTAATTTCTTAAAATATTTACTCTCAGTGAGACTTTACTTCAGCCAACAGACTCAAAATTTTGAGGTAGGGCACTCGCAGACATGCACACAAAATAGCATCAATACACACACTTTCCCTTATAATGCACACCAGAGAGGAGTCAGAGATATTAGTAGAGCATAATGATATCCTAGGAACTAGAAATACACAGAGACACTGCAAACAGTTGCTTTAACATGGATAATGCTAGCTACCTTCCATTGCAGAGCCCTGCAGCACTACTATCTGCTGAATATGCAAAAGCATAGCTCTTTCCTTTCCAGTGCTGTAATGCCTTAGGTCCATTTACTGTCCCATTTAAAATCCTTCACAAATATATTCTGTTCTTCAGGGTCATTACATTCATTGTTAAATAAAAGTAAATGTTTTAAATCAAATAAGCAAGTGTGTAGATAATTCTTACAAACTAAGATTTAGTCCTTAGTATTGGAATGAACATCAGAGACCTATTGTGGTTTGCAGATATTGGCAAAATCCATGTACGTAGAATTACGGTTGGTTCCAAATAAGACAAGTTGTGGAGCTGGCTCTTATCTTAGAGCCGGTGTTATTTTTACAGCTACTGCTGTTTAAACAAAGTACATATTTCGTTAGAGAAGATTCTAGATCAGTTGTTTGAATTTTGAGTTCGTCTTAGAAACACATTAACCAGAAATGTATTCCAATTTTCAATGTTATAGCAGGAATAAAACAGTGGGCTACATTATGGAGGCTGTGGTCTCAAAGGCACAAAGAAATTAGAATCTTAAAAACATAACCAAATGTTAACACTCTGTTATGACTGGTACAATCCAGCCAGTTTAGCTTAAATGTGCTGATTTTTTACAGGCAAAGCTGCCAGCTTTGCCGTTCAAAATTTGTTTAAAAAATTTCCACTCTGTGTTCTAATTACCAAGAATAACAGAACAGTAAATGGAAATCAGACACTTATTGGCTTGAAAATTATTTGTTTTGGCACTAGTGACTGGAGTAGTTTTAATAAAGAGACAAAGAGAAAATAAAAAATACCTCATTTAAAAATAAATACCTATTTCCCATATTAATTAATTATATTCATTGATAATTTCTATTCACATCCCAATCTCTTTTTTTCTTTTTCTCATGACAGGATTACCATGTAAATTCTTTTAAAATAAAGGATTATACTCTATTTGCATTAAGGTACTTTATTGAAAGCAGGATGTAAATATATGGAAGATATTTCTAAGACAACGTGCGTATTATTATAACAGCAAATGAAAGATCTGTTAAAATACATCAGAAAACACCTTTGGCTGAAAAAATAGAGGCGGCTTTTGGATATCGTGTCTGAGGATATGCACGAATAACTTTCTGACAAAATGCAGATGCAAACTGATCTTAGGTTTCTGTGCTTTTGGTTTCTTTACATAATATTTCAAAACAAAAAATAAATAGCACAATGCTGTTTTGCTGAAAACACAGGTTCTGATACCTAGATGGCATTCTCAATGTACATAACCCGACGCAAAGTGCTATCCTGCTCTTTAACAAACCTGAAATGTCATCGTGGTGTCCAAAAGAAGGAGACACTTAGAAAGCGCCAGGTCCTCCCTCGCCCCTGACACTTTGGCAAGTACACATTGAGAACTGGAAAAGGGCTCTTCCCAGGACAACTCTGTGGGGAAACCTCCCTCCGTGCGGTTCGGAAGGGCACTCGATCCCAGGACCTTCCCCGTCATTCCCGGTCGGCGCCCCGCTCCCTCCGGCGGCGCGGGGGCCGTATCTCGCCCGCAGGCGGCACCCGGAGCTGCCGCTGCTCCGTCCCGGCGCTGCGGTCCCCGATCCCCTCGCTCCGCTCCGCCGTCGAGGGGCCGCCGCCACCCGGTCCCGCTGCGGGACAGCCCCTCCATCCCTTCCTCCCTCCCTCCGTGCCTCGGGAGCAGCGGCGGGGGGAGGCGACACACGGGCGGCTCCGGCAGCCAGAGCGGTGAGTACCCCCGGGACAGCCCGACCCGCCGCGGGGGACACAGAGGCGGGCGGGGGCGGCGGGCGGAGATGCCCCTGCGGGAAGCCGCTCCCACAGCCAGTCCCTCGGGCGGCGTCCCGCTGGCAAGAGCGGCCGGGGGTCCCAGGGCAGCGAGGCCGGCCCTTCCTCCAGGGTAGCAGTGCCGGCGCTACCCCGCAGGCAGAGAGGGGGCGTCCGGGCGAGAGCCTCTGATGGGGGGCTCGGCGGCAGAGGACGGCCCGCGGGTGCTGCCGGCCCTCACCGGGTGCCTGCTGGGCTCCCTGGTGCTGAGCACGCTGGTGGGCAATGCTCTGGTGTGCCTGGCTGTCCTGCGCTTCCATCACCTGCGTGCCAAGGTCACCAACTGGTTCGTGCTGTCACTGGCCATCTCGGACCTCTGCGTAGCCCTCCTGGTGATGCCCTGGAAGGCAATCACTGAGGTGACTGGAGGCTCCTGGCTCTTCGGCAATCGCTTTTGTGATACCTGGGTGGCTTTTGACATAATGTGCTCCACTGCCTCCATCCTCCACCTCTGCATCATCAGCCTAGACCGCTACTGGGCCATCGCCAGCCCCTTTCGCTATGAGCGCAAGATGACGCAGCGCCTTGCCTGTGCCATGATAGCCATGGCCTGGACCCTCTCCATCCTCATCTCCTTCATCCCAGTGCAGCTGCACTGGCATAAAACCAAGGACAGGGGATATCCCAGTTACCGGCTGCCTGGGACACCCCGATGTGATGTAAGATTGAATCGCACTTACGCCATTACCTCCTCCCTTATTAGCTTCTACATCCCCGTGGCCATAATGATCATCACCTATACCAGGATCTACCGAATTGCCCAGGCCCAGATCTGCCGTATCTCCACCCTTGAGAGAGCAGGGGGGCAGTGGCCAGCTCACAGCAAGGAGCCCACCTCCTCTTTGCGGAATTCCTTGCACAAGGAGACAAAGGTGCTGCAGACTCTCTCTATCATAATGGGAGTCTTTGTTTGCTGCTGGCTGCCCTTTTTCCTGCTCAACTGTCTGCTGCCTTTCTGTCAGCCCATGCTCGAGAAAGACCATGAAGGACAGTCATCCTGTGTTAGCCAAACCACTTTCAACATCTTCATGTGGTTTGGCTGGGCCAACTCTTCATTGAATCCAGTGATCTATGCTTTCAACACAGATTTCAGGAGGGCTTTCAGCAACCTCTTGGGCTGCTGGTGCTTCTGCTGTGGCACACCCAAATCCACTGTGGAGAGGGTCAACTTCAGAAATGAGCTGGTTTCCTATCATCATGACACCACCTGCCAGAAGGAAGGAGCTGCCTCGTTGTCAGTACCTCCTGCTGCTGTCACCGCCTGGGTGCAGCCCATTCCCCATGCTGTAAGCCTTCAGGGAGAGGACAGCAGTGAGATGCCTGTGGAGAACAGACTTGCGACTTCTCTGACTCAGGCTGCCCCTGGGATCAGCCCCAAGAATTGCCAGGTGCCGGCTATTTTGCAATTGGATTGCAAGACAGAGCTATCCCTGGAAACTGTTACCCCCTGTGCAGGACTTGGTCAGTGTGAGGGACCCCACTGCCTTGTTTCAGAGGGATAAGTAATTGCATGCTTCTCACACACACAGCCACCCCACAGAGAGAGTTCACTCTGCCTCCATGTAAGCTACACCTGTACCCCAGCAAAAAATCCCATTCCAGAGGGATGGGAAAAACCAGAGAGGGGTGATGGGCATTTGAAATCCATTCCAAAGGCATGTAGTGGACATATATTAACTTTTTCCCATGGCCACCATCACTCTTTACTGTCATAGTCAGTAGACATCTCCCATGCATTTGTTCATCCCCAGTTTCCAATCAAACTTGAGATATTTATTAAGAATAGTGAGATAATTAGATCAAAGTAAAAATGTCTCATAGTTTGAGACTCTATAATACAATCTTACATAGACAAGTTAATCTCAGATTTATCTTCATTGCTAAAACTTTCCCCCCCCTCTTTGTAAGTGATACTGGAAATAATTGTTTGTAGCTAATTGATAATGGTCATCACTGATGTGCAGATGATACACATTACAATAGTTTACAGCTGTAAAGTCTATTGTAGTAAGTGCAGTGTAATGTTCAAGGCTGCAATTAATTGCAGAAATTGTGCATTATAAACTCTTTATTTGCATTTTAAATGATGGATTAGTGAAGGTCCTTCATATGAAAGCTACACCACATAGCCATTTAGACTACATCTGCTGTTGCTGATTTAATAACATATAAATATTGATACTGTGTGTGTTTTTATTTTCCTAGACTGGAAAGGCTCTTGAATGTTAAGCATACTACAGACCACCCACTTCTGTGAATAGTAAATGAGAAAAATTTATTTTCCTCAATAATTTTTTAATGATTAACTGTGATTTCTAATTGACTTTTTTCTCATGACAGGGCAAGCTGCTGTGTTAGATTACACAAGATTCAATTAGCATTGTTAAGTTCAAGTGTGCTGAAAGATATTAAAGTTATTTAAAAAGCCAAGGTTTACTTCAGCAGAAATTAAGAGGTGAAATTATTTCATATTTACACCACTGCAGCCACTCAAAATAAATATCTTTCAAAGCAGAACTTGGCAGCATTTTGTTACCTATGAATCACAAATGGCAAAGGTATTATTTTAGGGAGATCTATTGGCTATTCCTCAAACACACTTTTTATAACTCAGGTCATCAAATCTACATGTCTCTTTATGGATTCACCACAGTATATGTAAGGTATTTCGCTGACTGAAAGCAGTTTACTTTGATGCCTAACAGCACCACCTTTACAATACCATTAACATCAAAGTGATCTAAAAAATAGTTTCTAAATAGCCCTGGTATCAAAACAGTGCAACCTCACAAACATTTTATCAACACCCTCTTATTAGCCAGTGCCTAAACTTCTGAATCTAAATACAGTTCAGTTCAGCAAAGTACAAGTGGTAAGCCTTTACACTGTACACCAAATGCCTTCTCTGTTCAAATAATTCCCAACCCCTTTCTTTCTGTCAGTCTATGAAGTTCTCAACCAGCTACAGGTTATTTTATTACACAATTGAATACAAAATTCTTGTGATCAGTTAAAAGCTTAAGTAGCTGAGCTGCCAAAGCAGCCCTTCTCACTATTACATCACACGTGAAAAATAGGGATAAATGTCTCTGTAGTCTTCTTAAGTAGCTGCAGAGATCCTTGTCCAGCTGAGAGCTTTTCCCTGCTGTCAAGTTGCTCAGAAATTTTTGATTGGGTTTCAAGGTTAAGCATAAATGGAGATAGGCACATGTGCTCATCTTTTAGACAACTGGGCTAGAATATAAACAGCATTCTTCAAGGTAGAGAAAACAAACTTCAAGACAGGGCTGTCTGGAGCTAGAAATACATCAGGGAAAGGACAGGAACTCCTTCCTGTTGAAAGACTGAGGCTGATCACGCACCCCTGTACGGCAGAGGTGCCAGCACCTCTGTAGTAGGAGGCAGTAGCAGGACAGCAGAGATGTACTCAAACACACATCGATGCAAAGCTTCACCTTTTTTCCTAAGTGATATTTTAAAAATATTAACTGCAATGCACATGCATTCTTGACATTATGCTTAGGTTTATTGCCTGTCATGTTATTTATGTACGGCTTTATTTTGCCTTACAGACATGATTTCAGAGATCACCATTGACTTGAACAGGAAGCTTGTTACAACTACAGCACTGCTTCTACACTTATCAGTTCCAGGAATAAGAAGGGACTAAAAAAGCATGTGTGACTTGTCATAAGAAAATATAAAACCTTTGGACAATTCTGCAATTCAAACCACAGCAACAGAAAAATACATTCTTAAAGAAACTCCCTATTAGCAAAATCCTAATAAACAAAACCTAACAGGACTAGATTTTCTCCCGGTGTTCCCCTCCTCTTATACTGAAAATCTACCCATGTATTCTACCCCCAGAGAAAATTTTTCACCTTCCCTGTCTTCTTTCTCCTTCACAAATGCACACAGACATGCAGATACTGCAGAGGGATATTAGTGCTTTTATATTGCAAAGTATATTTCCAAGGCATCAGAGGAAATAATCTTTTTACGAAGTTAGTCTTCCCTCCTCCCTTTATATCTTGCTAAATTGCTGCAATTTGTTTGGCTGAGTTGAATATAAACTAAATAACACTATCCTTATAAATTACATCTAAATACATGTACAAATGGAAAACTAATTAAGTAGTTCTGATATACTGTTACATACAGTTTTTATGATAAATAAAAAAAAACCAAAGCAATCAAACAAAAAGAAACCCAAAAAACCCCAAACATACCAACCAAAAAACCACCCTCATCCACATGGTTATAGATATGTGCAACTTTAGCAAATTCTGAATGCAGTGGAAATATCAATGTAATGTAAAACAAGATCATACCTCAACTGTGTGTATGTATGTATTTATCATACCTCAATTTTTTTCTTTTTCCTCTGATACTTAGCTGGTTACCTTAACACTTCAGTGAAGCTTTCACTGAAAAACAGGTGACCTAGGTAGCAAAAAGAGAAACCTGTTACACAACTTGGTTGTCAGAAGCATCTGTTGGTTTGCTTTTGCCAAAATCATTCCTCTTGTGTTGGATTTCAGATGATTCACCTACAAACACCATATTAAGCATATTTCAAACAGTTGAATATCAGTAAAAATTCTTTTTGTGAAAAATTCTCTATTCTTCATAAACTGTTTTTTCCCCTTAGCTTGGGAGGTTAAAGTGCCTTTCTGGATGTTAAGCACTGTCAGTCCAGTCCTGCTGGACTCTGATGTACTAAAGTGGTTTCATCACCATGGTTACGGACTCCCACCACTTAACTCAACTATATCTTCTTGTAATAATTTAATTCACTTTCCTAAAACCTCTTGCCCTTCCTATTGTAAAGAGACATGCAGCAGGATGCACTTCCTGGGTATGAGCTATTCCTCAGATTTCTAATTTTCTTAAGAACAAATGTGCATTTACACCAAAGACGGGCACAAAGATGTTAAAGTAATGATTTTATTTTCTAGCATATTTAGCTTGAAAAAACTTTTGGTAGTCCTGATCTGGGCTTGTTACATTTCTCCCCAGTGCCTGCCTGTGTCTAATCATTCAAGACATTTTAGAAAACCCAGGGCTTACGAATGCATTTCACATTTTACTAAGTTAACAAGCTACATGAAACTGCCTATCAGTGGAACTACTGACAATCAACAATAAGCAATAAACAATGTGTGGACATGTACCCAGGGTTTTTTACATGTGCATAGCATAAAATGAATGAAAATGCTAGGGAAAATGTAGGTTTATCTTCATCAGCCAGAGAAACAGAATTTCATCTTGAGATAGTTTTAGTTTAGTTTCGGTAGTGAGAAGTCATTTCCATCTGCAAAATTTGCAGAAACCGTTGCTAGGTTCCCCTTTTTCTTTAAAAACCATTTTCATACAGCTTTCTGCAGTTCAACATTTTAATATATTTTTAACTAATTAAATTCATCTTTGCACCCACCCTCTGACAACACAGGATTTAATTTTACTATTTTCATTTTTAAATCTGAACTGGCTGAATGGAATTTATGCACACTATTTCATGAGTTCAAATCCCGTGATGCCTTTGCATGAAACATGCGAGCAAGTTGTCTGAGCTTCTATTACAATCAGGGGAAAATCTAGGCCAAACAGTCAAACATGTCTAGAGAGATTTACTGGATCAAGTGATGATATCCACTCTAGGATGAGAGGAAAAGCTCACTAGACTGACTAGCTGACAGGGGAAAAAAGGCCAGTAATGCAGGACAGCAACAGACAGGGTATAAATGAGCCAGTGTGCAAACTAGTTCCAATTTTTTGCTGTTGGTAACAAAGCTATAACAATCGGTTGGTAACAATTAGAGATCGTACTAAAAGCCTGACAAGAGGTAATGATCTTTACTACGTATGCAGAGCTGGATTTGCTCTTCTGTTGGATGGTCGGTCTGAAAAGTTTCTCCAGCCTTACCATTTAGATTTCAGGAAATAAAAAAATTATAATCAAAGTAGTAAGAACTATCGATTTTTCACGGTAATTTAAATAAATGAATGCGTAAAATAACACAGAGCATGGAGTATTTGCTAACACCTAAACCGATAATATAGTCAGAGACAACATCACGACAAATGTTCCTGGTGCACATTTGTTAACAGAAGACGAGAAATACATAAAGCAGCTGAGTTTCAAGAGATCAGACTGGTAATTAGATATTGCCTCTTATGTTTTGGACCATAGCATTATATTAGTGCTGCCAAAATACATTGTGACAATAAATTAATTGATAGGGGTAATTAATGCTGTAGTACCAATGCATCCAAGCCGTGAATTATAGTAGCACCAGATCGATACCTCCTTGGTGTGCTGCCAGACTTAGTTTAAAGCTCCTCAAGAGCTTAAAAACCCTCAAACATCTGTTACCATCACAAGTAACATAGAGCAGCTATTACTGGGAACAATAGGGCTTTGGGGGCACTGCAGTTCACTGCAGACTTCTTTCAAAAAGAGAGTAGATTTTCACTGTGCTGCTAACAGCTTATGCTA